TCCAGGATTCGTCGATGACGAAAACCACGTCAACATTGCAAACTGTAGTTTCGAAATGTGAAATATCGGTCCATATCTTTGTGATATACTAGTAAATATATGTAAGGAAATGCTTGAAGCAGATTTCCGACGTGTCTGGTACCCCACCCTGATATCAACCGACTCATCATTGAAAAATGCTTAATCATTCAAGCAGCGACTATAGTACACTAAAATGCATCTACGGCTAAAGGAAAATGCCCCTTTAAAATCACAGGACCTACGCGTCGTGGGGCATTTCGTCTTCCTCTGCAGAACCTATCAAACCCAAGAGGCCCACTCCTAGTAGCCGGCCCGGTAGCGGATCGTGGGCCGGGGAGCGGACTAAAGCTAAAAAGGCTGACACTCAGGCTTCACTCCTAGTAAGCTAGTATCAGAAACACCCACCAGTTTTCACATGATTGTATTATCAAAACAAAACAAAAAGATGTACATTATTTTGTATCTATCAGAATATAACTTGCAATTAGCCATCGATGAAGAATTTGAAATAAACATATCCATCTAATTGATTTATAGTGCTCCCAAGTAGTGTTGAACATTCTTAAAATGTATGTGTTCTACATGCCCTCGGACTGGATACGAGGGGTGATCCAAAAGTTCTCGGCCTCACCTAGAAGAAAGAGGTGAAAGTCCCATTCTGGGGTAGAGCTGTATACTATGACGTCTTACATCACTGCCCGCAGAAATGCAACTTTTGATATTCATTAATTAGCACGTGACGCCCCGTGAAAATGGGGCAGGTGAGGGCAAAATCACAAAATGGCCGCAACAGAAGCTCGTGCTGCGATCAAGTGTATCGATAAAAAGTGATGTCTCGCAAGGAAGTCCATGAATACATGGTCAAGACACTTGGTGATGACTCCCCTTCTTATTAAAGTGTAAAGAAGTGGGTTGCCAACGTCAAGCGCGACAAGGAGATCACGAAAGATGAACAAGGTCTGAGCGCCCTAAAATCAGCACCACGGACAATCCAGTTGAGGCCATCCATCACATGATAGTAAATGACAGATGTGACACTGTCCAACGTGTAGCAGGTTTATTTGCCTGAGTTGTGGCTCAGTTCACAATGTTTTGTCAGACATCTTGGGGATGAGCAAGCTGTCTGTACGGTGGGTGCCTAGAATGTTGTCTGAACATCAGAAGTTAAACAGCCTGGACATTTCAAGGAACGAATTCAGTCCATCAGAACAATTTACCCAAACGATTTGTCACCCAAGATGAGACATGGGTGCACCACTTTCACCCCGAATCAAAACAGCAGGGCAAATAATTGATGAAGAACCTTTCCCGGTCCTTCAAGCGAGTTTCACCCGTTGACAAGGCTTTGGCCTCTGTTTTCTGGGACAGTGAGGTGGTAATCATTGTTGACTACCTGCAAAAGGGTCTAACCATCAATGCGGTGTTCTGTGCACCAGAATTGAGACAGTTGAGGGCAACAATCACAGAGAAAAGGAGAGGAAAGCTCCTAGTTGACGTGCTGACAATGCACCTGTCCACACGGCACAGGGGTCAGTGGCAGCAGCAAGCGAATGTGGCTTTGAAGTCTTATCCCATCCTTCCAATTAACCTGACCTAGCACCCTCGGACTTCTACCTGTTTCCTAAACTAAAGTTCCATTTACGTGGTCAACGTTTTAATGGTGATGATAGCGTCATTGATGTGGTTTAGGCATTTTTAAGGGCTTCAGACGCAATATTCGTCTACAAGGGAAAGGAAAGCTGGAACATCACTAGACTAAGTGCATTGAAGTTAGAGGGGACTATGTTAAAAAATAGTGTAAGAAAAATTTTTCTGTCATCACGTTTTTTGGGAGAGGCCGAGAACTTTTGGATCACCCCTCGTACAATGAAAAGTATTATACAAAAGACAACAAAACAAACAAAACGTTTCAAACAAAATGATCATAAGCATAATTTGTAGGTATATTTGATGTGAATATTTTTGTTTGTTCTTTGTTCATTTAGCCCAGCCATGCCCGACTTGGAAATACTAGTATGACCCTGGCATTATTACGGTCTTACTTCGGCCCGGACCGGCGTACAGCCTCGGTTCGTCTTCGCCGATTGCCTCGTGGATGGAGACGACCATCACCAACGTGGTCAGCAGCAGTTTCCACAGCATGTTTGTTGTGTCGAGATCTGTGTAACAAACGGACAGGTTGGCTTGTGCATTGTCGACTGAACCAGATCTCTCGGCACCGAATTCGCCGTAACTCTATTGTAACAGTTTTACATCTTATCAATCAGGCTAGGAGAGATCTCCCCTGAAATCTGCGTAACAACGGATATGATAGATGTATCTAATTCTCCCGTAACATTTGCCACAGTTCTACATGTCCTACATAGGTGAAAGAGGGGAACTCTAGAATCTGACATGCACATTTGTAATTATAAAGTCGTGTCCCAGAAGTGTCGGCAATCATGAATTGATTTCTCAGAATCATGAGTTAACATCTAAAGAGTGATAATTATGGAATGCACAAGACAATTCAAATGTACGGGTTATATTTCTTACCGTTTGGTGAAGATAGAAAAACACCGGTAGAACACTGTTCAGTTTGGTCCAAGCCTCAGTCAGGTCTCGTGGTGATCAGTACAGCTCACGGTCTTCTCACCAGTCCGTACTATACGACTGGCGAAGTAGAACTGTCGGAGTGTCCAGCGCAATCCGTTATGAGCCGAAATCCAGGACGCTTCCCATTGGTCCGACATCATCAGTTTCTCCT